TACCAGTACTCATCAGTATGATGAAATGAAAGGAGGAAACTACACAGCAGAAGTCAAAGCTATGGGGGTGAGGGGAGAAAAGTGGAGTAAAGATGACTTGTACTTTCCATAACTTGTCTCAGTATGTCAGAGAACAAGCAAAAAAACTCCTTCCTGTCACATCAATTCTCAAACCAATATTCACAACACAGACATACCACCAGCATCTTCCCACAGGCTTCCTCTGCACTGCAAGTTACGTCCCTCAGCTGCCAACTGCTTTGGGAACTGCAGCCAAAAGGGATATAAGGGATTTTATCTGTAACATAATTGTTGGGGAAGGAGAGAAGAAAAGGAGGAGGAAACAGATAACACTGCATAGCGTAGAACTGATGATGCAGGAGGCAAAACCGGCTGGAAATATTTGATTACACAGTGTCATTCCTCTCTCACTCTCCTGGGAATGGAAGGGAGACTGATGGGGGATGTTGAAGTCCAACTTCAAGATACAGATGCAAACATGTGATGCAGCCTCTCGTTTGACAGAACTGGACATTCAGAGGGGTGTCACCTAGAAACAACACCACCGGACAGTGAGGGTACCTCTGCAGGCAGAGCCCACTCCAAAACATCTCTGGCCTTGCATGTCCGTCCTTACTCCTGTCCCCTCAAACTCCCTGATATAAAATACACCCAGTCTAACCATCCTGTTGTTCTGCACATTTTAATTCTTCCACATCATCCCTCCTGTTGCCATACAACTGTATAGCCCTGTCCCACAGTATTGCCACTGCTAGTGGCAATCCGTAAGCTCTGCACTGCATTTGCAAGGCCTTAGGACTATATGCCTGTCAGGCTCACTTTGGCTGAACTTTTCTTGACCTGCCTGCAACTGTTACTTGATTTAGCTACCACAGCAATTTCTGTAATTGACAAGGTGCCTATGCCTAATTGGTTCTACTTTTGTTTACCCAGGCATGCTGCAACCATAGTTTCATATAGATAGCAGCAACAAGCAGTCACTCTGTATAAAAGGAGATATTCACAACTCTACAACAATGATGTGGTGTATAGAAATACAGGTCTGGTGTGGTAGGAGAGGCCTTGAGAAGTGTCAACACGGGATGCAGTGGAGAGGAGCGCAGGCTGGGATACAGAGATGGCTTGTACAGGACTCTGCACTGGGCACCCCACAACTCACCAGCAGTCAGCTAAGAGAAACACAGACCTGGACAAAACTGGTTTTAGGGGTAACAAACAAGAAAGAAACAGTGTCTAACATATAGTGCCTTTTATATACATGAGTGTAACACGGAGCTGCAAACCAATTAAGAGCAAAGGCATATAAGCACATTAGCAAACATATAAAAACAATCTCCAGTGAATCCTAGAGTGAGGAAAACAAAACCATCAACATGAATGATCATATTTCTCCTTGTGAAGGACACCTGATGCTGACAAATCGCTGCAAGAGCTCACCACCACCAGGATGAAACCACTGACCTTAGGACTCAGAGCAGCAGTGAGACAGTAAGTGTAAATACTTTAACTGTATTATTGCTCTTTTTTTTTTTTGTAACACATAGATCTGAATTACTAATCGTTAGGCTCTCAAGATTTCAGTTATTCTAACCATAAATTCTTGGTGTCTCTTTTAAGGCACGCTTCCATTTTTTAGACATGAGATTTTGCACATAGCGCCCGAGCAGAGCACATGCTCGGTAATTTACAGACACAGAGCAATATGTGTGGAGATACACAAAGAGAACAAGGTATCCTGTAGGCACCAAGACTCTCAGAGCGTCCCCTGCCCACCAGCCACTGTCATTGGAAGGGCCCAAGCAGCAGGGGAAGGCAGAAGTACCCAAAGGCTTCTGCACGATTCTGGCATCTACCACAGCATGTACAAAGACAAGCATTAGGCCTTCTTTCCTTTAGAGTACAAAGGTCCAACCCTTCTCTCTTCTCTTTCAAATCACACTTGACTCCTCTCCTTGCCAGAACTGCTTAGGAAGATACACCTGTGAAATACAGCCCATGGGAACAAGCTGGTAATGACATGAGCAAGCAGCACACATGGTATGGCAAAAGGTGGGAGGAAGAAATAGTCAGACAAGCAAAATACTCATTACCCAGAAAGGACCAGGGAAACTAAAACAGTTCACACCCTAACCTGGTAAAAGGTAACAACCTTAAGTCACTAATATCAACATCTTAATGGAATGCACATCTAGGTAGTAAGAAATACTCGGACAGGAAATAATATTTTGTGAAACAGCCACCAAAAGGAGTGCTTTTATAAGATAAACAATGACTCAAAAAAGGATGTAAAAAATGAGCAGTCTAGGTAAGCAAAAAAAGATGTAGTTTCTAGTTTATACTCATTTTAAGATGTCAGTTTTCATTTAACTCCTTGTCGGTATTAGCAACTAAAAGCACTCTCCAAATTGACTGTATCTTTGTACTTATTATTTCATAGTGACAAGTAACAATATGTTCTCTCCTGCTAGCCTATGTATAGACAGCGCTATCCAGTCAGTGTTCCAAATGGTTAATACAGCTGCCATCATAAGAATCTCTTACACATAAAAAAAGTTCACAGATGGGGTAGTATCCAAGATGATATGTACATAGTCATGGAAGTGATCCTCTTATCCTCCAACCACTAAAATATTTAGCATCTGCCTTTATTAACCACACACGTGTCGCTCCAGTTATATCACGATCTACAGCACTATCTCCGAATAAGAATAAACAAACAACCAAACAAACCCCTCAGACACTGTAATTAAACCAAGCAGGATTTTTTTTTTTTTTTTTTTTAGCTGACAACCGCGACCTGCGCTTACACCCAGAGGCCGCCTGCCACCACCCGCTGCCAGACAGGCTCCCCGGGAAGGCGGGCCGTGCTCGGGGAAGCACCTTTCACAGGGCGCCCAAAGCCGGCGATGGCAACGCGGCCGCTCCAGCGGCGACAGCCAAGTCTCTCCCAGCGACGCCAGCTTCGCCCCCACACCCACCCCACGGGCCGGCCGCCGGCTCCTCGGGCCTCCGTGGAGGCCGGCCTGGCCCTCACGCAGAGCCGGGTGCCGCTCCCCTGGGGCGAGAGGCACGACCGGCGGCCCCCCCCCCCGCCGCCCCAACATCGGCCACCGAGCCGCGCCCGCCCCGACAAGGCCCGCGAGAGCCCCGGCAGGGCCTGACTCAGCGCCGAACTGTCAGCGGCCCCGCAGAGCGGGGCGGCGAGAGGCAAGGAGAGAGTGGCGCGCGCCCGCCCGCCCGTACCTGTCCTCACTCTTGTTCTTCTGCTTCTTGCCCATGGCGGCGGCGGCGGCGGCCGCGGCGCCCGTCCCCCACCTCAGCGCCGCCCGCGCGCCGCACCGCGCATACGGTTAAGCAGGAGCAGCAGGAGCCTCCGCCACCCCCCGCCCCTCAACCACCACCACTCCGCCGCCGCGCGCCGCGCACGCGCCCGCCGCCCGCTCCCGGCCTGCCCCGCGACGAGCGAGCGATGGGGGGGGCCTCGGGCACGGCGCCTCTGCGCGATGGCGCCCCTTGCCGGCCGGAGGGGGGTGCGGGGGTAACGGGCGACGCTTCTCGGCCCAGCCGCGGAGCCGCGGGGGGTGACAGCGACCGGCTTCTGGAAATCGGCTTGGTTGCTGAGGGTTTGGTCCTTCAGGCAGACGTGGCAAACGTCTGAAGTGATGCCCCAAAGCCGGAGTTTCCCTCCTGCCTCCCCAGGGGGCGGCATCAGAGGCCCAGAACTCCCGGCAGGACTGTAGCCCGCCTCAGCCACACAAAAAAAAAAAAAAAAAAAAAAAAACAAAAACCAACAACAAAAAAAAACACGAAAAAACCCGACTCGCTAGCCTAAATAAACACATTCAGAAAACTTTTATCTGGAGGCAAACGGGACAGCTGGGTCAAAGCAGGGGAAGAGAGAGGTTGTGGAGAAAGCTTCGAGGGTGGCAGTAACTTGGGTGCAGGGCAAGTGGGTGAGTGCTGCCTGAGACGGGGATCAGCTGGTCCTTCACCCACACCGCTGGTGAAGTGTGAAGGAGAAAAGTCCACTGCCAGACCCGGTGGTGGGTGGCCTCCCACCAAAACGGGAAGGTCAGGGCTGGTGGCATTGGGTTTACAGCTCAGCACGGGGGCACTGACCAAACTCCACTCTTGGGAGAGTTTCCTCTTCAGGCAGTTTGGCTGCCAGGCAGCAACGTTAAAAATATGGTATGTCCCTCCCTCCTCAGCAGATTTTCTCAGCATACAGAGCTCTTCCTTCCTCTCCCCTGCAAGCAGCCTTGCAGCACGAGAGCTGAAACGGTGCTGTGCTCTCTCATGGGAGAGCCCAGACCATGGGGCAGGTGAACGCCGGCCTTCGCAGGAATATGGCACAGAAGTCAGGCAGCAAACAGTGTGTGTTACCGGCGGAGGGGCTCTCGGGTGCAACCTCATCTCCTCCCAGCCACACTCCTCAAGAGCAGAGCCAGATGGAGCAGGTCGCAGACATCACACTATTTCATCTGTTTTGAGAGCTGCACCGCTTCAGCCACTGGCGTCATCCCGTTACAGTAAATCCTCTGGCGGGCAGAGCAAGCCTCACAGTTCTCTCCATCTTTCACCCTCAGGACCACCACCCTAAACCTCACCCCACTCCCTAAACCCCTCACATTCTACTTCTCGGCCTTTACACAGCTACAGCTCCTCCTCAGCCTCTCCCACCCAGGCTCCCAGCAGGCTGCAGATAAGGCAACCTTATCTTCCGAATCAGCAGACTTCGGTAGCAGGGAGTCAGATTTCCAGGAAACAAGAAAGCAGAACACTTGAGGGGTTTGCTTTTTTTTTGTTTTGGTTTGGTTTGGTTTTTTTTGCAAACACACTTTAATATCGCATTATTTAAATCCGTGGATCTTCTAGCGCACTTGCCAGAGGAGCAAAGAGATCGCAAGCCCCGGCTACTCCGTCTTCTCGCCGAGCCCGCCGGAGCGCCCCGCCCGCCCTCACCGCAGCACCACCCTTACCTCACGGCATGGCCCCGTGGCTCCCGGCCGTTACGCCCCCGTGGGGGGTGGGGCAGGGGGACTGTCCCGGGCTCACACACCCAACCCCGAGGCGTCCCCCCCCCCCCGAAAGGCGGCGGGCGTGCCGTGGGGAGCGCGGTTCCGGGGGGGGGGGCGTGGCATTGGGGGGGGGGGGGCAGGGGAAGGGGACGCGACCCCGTAGACACCGCATCCGCCGCGCGTGGGGCGGAGCTGTGGCGCGGAAAGGGAGCGGCCCCGCCCCTCCCGAGCGGCAGAGACACGGCTCCGCCCGCGCCGGCGCGGCGCATGTGCGCCGGCCTTCCCGGCCGATGAACGCGTCTGGAGAGGTGTGGCTTGCGTGCGCGTGCATGCGGCGGCCGGCCCCGCCCCGTCAGGGCTCTCGCGAGACGTCGGTGGGGCACGGCGGGCAGCGGTGGCGGCAGCGGAGGAGGGTGAGGGGCGGTTGGGTGTCGGGGTTTTGGCCGCTTGCAGCGGCAAGGGGGGGAGGGGGAGGGTGAGGTTTTCCCTGGAGAGCTCGTCTGCAGTTGGGTGGGTGGGTGACCGTTGTCTGTCAACGGCTCCGCGGGGGCGCGCGGCGTCCCAGTGTGGGTCGGGCCCCCGGCGCCCCTCCGCGGCGGAGCGGGCAGGACCGCGGCCCCGTCGGTGGCGCCGAGTCCCCCGGGAAAGGGTTGTGGGCGTGGCGCCCCCCCCTTTCTGCGTGGGAAGCGCTTGTTGGTACCGAGGCTTCCGCGGCGTGGGGAGCTGGGAGCCCTCTCGGGACCTCGGGCAGTAGTGGGGACCGGCTGGGGTTGATTATCCGTTTGCCTTCCTGTTTGATTGCAGGACAAGCCTCCCTGGGCCACAGCTGAGCAGCATTCCCTCCCTCACTCCCTCTCCTGAAGACCTAGTGGCTTCCGATCTGCGCTAACAAGGTTCTTAAATCCTCTGGAAATACAAGAAATGGGGATAGAAAACAGTTAGACTTTGTAGTTGTCAGCTTCGAGGAGAGGGAGTGGAGACGAGGTGCTGTAGGCCAGAGCAAGTGTGGCTGTGACACGTGTGGAGGGGGCTTGATGCTGCAGATGTTGCGTTGCATTTGGAGTGCTGCCGTGATGTTGGTACCTTGCCCGTCACTACTTAAAATGCTTTCTTGCCTCTGTATGCAAGGTGTTTACAAAGTCGATGGTAGTCATAGTTTGGCTATTTTGAAATACAGCCGAGATTGCTCTGGAGCTCAAATTCAGCTCATCAGATCCCTGGCTTGCAGGTTGGGAATCTGATTAGGGTGACTGCACTGTTCCCATTTCAAAACTCATTTGTTACAGTGATAGTTTATGGTAGTATAAGTTTATTGGGGAGAACAATCAATTATGTTGCACCAGCTCTTCACAGACTAGTCTTGGTATTTTGTGCCTTTTGAAGTGTTTGGTTAGGGAAAACTTTGCAGAAAATAATTTTAGCTATGTTTCATCACACAGCAGTTAGGTAGTGGTTGTTGGGGTTTTTTAAATCCTTTTGCCGGCTGCCGTGGAGTGGTGCTTGCAATAGCAGTTTTCTTGTACTAATTGAAGAAGTGTATTTGCCTAAAGCATTTGCTGTTGAGCACCTTGTCTTTCTTTTAGCCAAGGAGAGGAGTGGTAATTCAGATTTAAATATGTTAGTATTTATCAGTTACTTAAAGTAACTGCAGTGAAACTATTGGTGGAAACTTATATACTGAGCATTGCTTAGATTTATTCTGAGACATTTTACATGTCCTTCCAGCATCTTGGAGCTTTCTGATTGCATCGTCTAGTTTCAGAATGTTTATTAAAGGGACATGGATCTGGCTCAGGGTGAGTGTTCCTTGGGAACCAGTGAATTTTGCTTCTTTATATTGACAGTTCATTTCAGGTTTCTGTGCACTTTCAACAGCTGCCTTTGGGATTGAGAGAATAGAACTTGACTGCTGTCTTTGTTGCCATCTGTGTTCATTGTGAAACTGTTCTCCAAAGGGGTTGCAATACAGAAGTGTCTACTGTTATCTTCAGATATTGTAACATTTTGTTTCTCTGCAGTGTGAACTGCAAGTGAGAGAGGTCGGGCTTTTAATTGTTTGTTTGTTTAAATGTTAATTCCGTTACCACTATTTCCACAGCTCTGAGGAGATCACTTTCTAGTTAATGATGGCTGCTGATACCTCTGTTGAAATAGTTCAAAAAGTTCTGGAGAATGAAATACTTCAGACTACAAAGGTTGTGGAAGAACATCTGGATGCCAAAATACAGAAGCTGGACCAAATGGATGAAGACGAATTGGAATGCCTTAAACAAAGGAGGCTTGAGGCACTAAAAAAGGCCCAGCAGCAGAAACAAGTAATTCCTGTAGTAATATGGACTCTTGATGTGTACACTGTAACAGACTTTTTGGAAAATCCAAGGGAATTGTAAATGTGAACTAGGTGTTTTGGGGATCTTTGTGTGGTTTTGTTTGTTTGTTTTTTTCCTTCTTCCTCACTTTTCTGTACTTATTAATTTTAAATTATCCAGAAAAGGAAGTGTCTGTCCATGTGTGCATGCTTTGTGTTTTTTAACAGGAAGGAGAGAACCTCTGTGATTATTTACAGTAAGGGTAGGATTAAGAGTCTCATGCAAAGATTTGAGTGTGTCCATGTTCACTGAACATTGTTGTAAGGAGGCATAAGCCTTGTGGGTAACCTAATCTTATGCCTTTAGGCTCCTTAAGCTTCTGGGGATTGTTAATTATGGCATGTAAGTGATGCATGCTCTTAAGGTATTTAGTAGAAGAATGATACAGGGTCTTTCCTTGTTCCCAGGGTAGAATCATTTGTCCCACTCCTCCTAACGCAATGAGATGTTGTCTTTGTGTGACTGCACATTTCTTCTTGCAGGAAAGGAATTCTACTTTGGTCCCTGATACCTCATGATAAATTATGGTCTTTATGCTACTCAAAAAGTCTCTTTGAACATAGTTCTCACCAGAATTTTGGTAAAATACAGTGGTAGACCTTAATTTGTAAGTAGGGAAGCCATAGATTTCTTAGTTTACTCCATTAAGCAAACATAAACAAAGAAATGGACTGGGTTGAGGGGTTGAGGTGGCTGGATTGAAAGGAGATGCTCTGGCTGTGGTGGAACCCATAAAAACCAATGCTGTGCTTTGAAATGGGAATGCAGTAAAATGTTGTGGCATGGTTGGGATGTTGGAGGACAGGCAGTGTTAGCAGCTTTGGTTCTCTAAACACAGAAGTAAAAAAAGTAGCATGCTATTTGCTTGTCTTCAGAAGCACAGTTTATATTTGATTCTAATGTTTTCCTTTTTCAGAAGTCATAACACTTGGATGTTCTTGGATGTGAGCATGTGGTAGTTCTCATGCAAAAATTTGTTCATATCAGTTGATTTTAAGTTGCTGTTCATTTTCATTTTCAAATACGTATTGGAAGAAGTACTCAGTAAAAGGAAGCATGCTGCCATACTATTCTGGAATAGGATTGTGCAGGGGGGAATTAATACATACCCTCTGTTGAAGGATAAGTCATCATGGATGGATTTGCATCATGATGACTTCTTCACATGCTCATACTTCTACGCATTTTTAATGTGTATAATGTTCAGGAAATTATTTGTTCAGTCCTAATATAGCTTACAGGATATTTTTGGTTTGCTTGAAAACTTTTTTTTTTTTTCCTTCACTCTGCAAAGACAAAACTGCAAGACCAAGAACAGTGATTTATCTAAAAATTTTTCCCCCCACTGGAAACTAAAGGTTTTTGTCAAGTCTGTTACACTACATTAATTCTAATAATTTAGCTTAGTCTGTACTTATTTTAATATGCTACAGTTAACTTTCGGTATTGTAGAAGCTGGGGTTTTTTCTTAAGTGCTTTTGTTGAAAATCTAGGTTAGCTTTTTCTAAACTGTATTTGCACGTAATCAGGCAGTTTTTGAAGTTGCCTGTAAATTTTAGCTTGTGAAATTTTTTTTCTCCATACATTTTATGACTAATGTGTTTTTGGAATGGCTTTCTGGAAGCCTGGATCATATTGAGATACCTTCAGTATAGATTCGATAGATAAACATCTTCTGTTGCAAGTGAGTTAGCAGGCTTTTTTTTTTTTCCCTGATTTTTTCATAAAGGGAAAAATTAGAAGAAATCTATTTTAATACATATAATGACTTGAATCAATTTTAGATGAGTTCTTTGAGTGTACAGAAACATTTTAGAGAGAGTAGCCCAAGCAATTTTCAAATGCTGAGAATTTTCTGTTGTTGATGTTCTCTTTGAACTATTGTAGTGTTACCAAGAGGCTGCACTGCAGAAATTCATGCAGCTCTGTACAAGATTTGTATTTCCAAATAAGTGAGGTAGCCTTGCTGCTCAACCACCTATCTGTTGTTGAGACAGAGCCAACCCAAAAGGATTCTCTAGCCTAGTGGCATTGTGAGTATTTTCATTTTTTCAAAGCAGAACTAAAGTGGGGGGAAGTAATTTGTTTCTCCTCCTATCACTGCTTGAAATGGGTTTCCACTGTAGGCCCCATCTTTTAATTTTTCTTAAAAGCTGCAGAGCTTGCATGACAGATGCAGGACTAACAAACTCCATGCTAATTATTTCCTTTTATGTTTTCCAAAAGGAGTGGCTTTCAAAAGGACATGGAGAATACAGAGAAATCCCAAGTGAGAGAGACTTTTTCCAAGAAGTCAAAGAAAGTAAAAACGTCGTTTGTCATTTCTATAGAGATACAACTTTCAGGTAGAGTAAATAAACTATGCTCAAGAAACTCATTGTTTAAAAATGTTGAAAAAAAGACATGTTCTTTTGTTCTTTCAATCCCACTAATAAATAGGCATTTTAGAAGTGTTCAAATTCCTGCCTTTTACAAATCTCACTCATTTCTCAAGGCATTTGATTTTTTTTTTTTTATTTTTTTTCCATTCCAGTTAATCTGAACATGATTTGACAACAATTAATGCTCTGTTACACAGTTCATTAGAATATACATGTATAACTACTTTGACAATATATGAGTGAGTGCTGTGTTTCATTATTGATTTAGTTTGGGGGAGACAGGTCTATAAATGTAGTGGCTATACAGGAGTAACATTTTGAAAAGATCTGGTTATTCCAGAGAGAGATATTCTGGATAGTTCTGTCAAATAAAAATATAAACAAAAACTTGTCTAGGATTTAACCTTTTACTTTGAAAGTATCTGTGGATACCAGTTGGAACTTTTTCCCTTTGTGCCTATGCCTTTGTGGTTATGTCACTTTTTTAGGATGTGAGAGACCTAGATCTGAGAGTGCGTTCTGACTCAGAATAGG